AAAGCCCCTTCTCAGCTGGGGTGGGGGGGCTGAAGCAGTGCCCAACTCCTCCCACCCCACAGGGGACCCCCCGCAGGCAGCTCACTGTGCTGGGCGTCGCAGGATCGGGCCCCGAGGGAGCCCGATGGGGCTGCAGAACTCCAGGCGTGCAGCGGGGATGTTTCTCGTGCCGAGGGCCCCTTCCATGTAGCGACCGAGCCAGCTGCCATGGGAGGGATGGAGAGGCCTTTGGGATGCCCCCCAGCCCTGCACAGGCCCCAGCTTCCCCGCTGCCTGCACGGAGCCCCCCACGAGGGGTCCTAGAGGCCGCTGCTGCCTGTGAGGCCCCATCAGGCCGGTTCCACGGAGGGGAGGGGTTGAGGCCACCCGCCAGGGCCACAGATGGGTGCCTGGCCCTCCCTCCCTGTGGGACGCAGCCTGTTCTGTGGGGGACCCCCCCCCCACTAGAGCACTCCTTCCTAGGGGAGCCTCCGTGGGTTTCCACCCCTCCCCTGCCTCATCCGGGGCTGTGCCCTCAGAGCCAGAATCGGGCTTGATTTCACAGCCAGGGAGCAAAAGATCAAATCCACGGAACATGACTGGTGACCCCTCGGCTGCAGGGCCAGGCCCTCAGCATCGGCCTCTCCCAGGCGGAGGGTGGCAGTGTCCGGGAATGCTGGGAATTCTCTGAGGGCCGATGTCCAGAAGCGCCCACTGGATGGCGCCAGAGCCCCAGAAACAGGCAGGGCGGCAGGTGGCAGGCGGCCGAGCACATGACAGAAAGCAGCAGAGCTGCGTCAGGTCCACACGCCAGGCCCGGCTCCCGGCCGGCTTCCACCTTGGCCCGTCTCTCACACCCAGCCGCCTGAACTGTTGCCTGGGAGAACGGCAGCCACATATCCCTCCATTCGCTGAAGGGCCTGGGAAGTGCACAGGAAACCAGGAAGTGTGGTGGGGACCGAGAAGGCCCAAAGGTCAGCAGGGCCTCTGGACTCCTCGCTGCCCCAGAGGGATACAGCCCCCGGCCAGCAGGGCCTCTGGACTCCTCGCTGCCCCAGAGGGATACAGCCGCCGGCCAGCAGGGCCTCTGGACTCCTCGCTGCCCCAGAGGGATACAGCCGCCGGCCAGCAGGGCCTCTGGACTCCTCGCTGCCCCAGAGGGATACAGCCGCCGGCCAGCAGGGCCTCTGGACTCCTCGCTGCCCCAGAGGGATACAGCCGCCGGCCAGCAGGGCCTCTGGACTCCTCGCTGCCCCAGAGGGATACAGCCGCCGGCCAGCAGGGCCTCTGGACTCCTCGCTGCCCCAGAGGGATACAGCCGCCGGCCAGCAGGGCCTCTGGACTCCTCGCTGCCCCAGAGGGATACAGCCGCCGGCCAGCAGGGCCTCTGGACTCCTCGCTGCCCCAGAGGGATACAGCCGCCGGCCAGCAGGGCCTCTGGACTCCTCGCTGCCCCAGAGGGATACAGCCGCCGGCCAGCAGGGCCTCTGGACTCCTCGCTGCCCCAGAGGGATACAGCCGCCGGCCAGCAGGGCCTCTGGACTCCTCGCTGCCCCAGAGGGATACAGCCGCCGGCCAGCAGGGCCTCTGGACTCCTCGCTGCCCCAGAGGGATACAGCCGCCGGCCAGCAGGGCCTCTGGACTCCTCGCTGCCCCAGAGGGATACAGCCGCCGGCCAGCAGGGCCTCTGGACTCCTCGCTGCCCCAGAGGGATACAGCCGCCGGCCAGCAGGGCCTCTGGACTCCTCGCTGCCCCAGAGGGATACAGCTGCCGGCCAGCAGGGCCGGTGAGGCTGGGCTGGAGGGCTGTCTGCAAGGTGGCTTGTGGCTGTGCCTTGCTCAGGAGCACAAAGGAGAAGGATGCGAACGCTTTCCTAGCGGCCCGCTTTGCAGGGACCTTCCCGGTCTGGGGCCACTCCCGGATGTCAGTAGTCAGGAAAGGCTCACGCAGAGCAGCTCCATGTCACCCCAAAAGGGGCAGGGGAGCCCAATTGCGCAGCCCCAGACTTGTGAGGCAGAATTGCACCTCTGCCGGCTGTGCCTTAATGACACATCTGACCCCGCATGTGTAACACCCCAAGGGGGTTCCAGAGGAGATGGAGAGAGGCTGAGGGATTGGGGCTTATGTAGTCTGCAGAAGAGAAGAATGAGGGGGGATTTTAGAGCAGCCTTCAACTTCCTGAGAGAGGCTGGGCTCAGTGGTGACAGATGCAGAACGAGGAGCAATGGTCTCAAGTTACAGTGGGGGAGGCCTAGGTTGGATATTAGGAAAAACTATTTCCCTAGGAGTGTGTCTATACAACAGGGTTTTTTCAAAAAACCTGTACCTGCGTCTACACTACCGCCGCGTTCTGTCGACAGTAAATCGAAAGAACGCAGAGGTTTTGTCGACGGCGGTAACCCTCATTCTACAAGGAATAACAACTTTTTTCGAAAGTCATCTTTGAAAAAAGGCGCTATTGCATGACAGGGCTTTTTCGAAAGAGAGTGGCTAGAGCGAGCCGCTTTTTCGAAAAATCTTCTTGTTGTCTAGACGCTCTTTTTCGAAAGAGGCTTTCAGTCTAGACGTAGCCTAGGCGGGTGGGGAAGCGCTGGGCTGGGTTCCCTAGGGCGGGAGGGGGTGGAGTCTCCATCCTTAGATGTGTAGAAGTCCCGGCTTGACAAAGCCCTGGCTGGGATGATCAAGTTGGGGTAGATCCTGCCTTGCGCAGGGGGTTGGATTCAGTGACCTCCTGAGCTCTCTTCCAGCCCTAGGATTCTAACTGTGGACTAAAATGGCCGAGTACGGCACAACGATCGTTATACAAGTAAAGAATACAACAGCCTTCCAACATACTACCTCCCGCTCACTTGATGCTTTTCCTGGTACTTTTATGAGGCTGTGATCTACTTCCGCAGACTCCAATGGGGATTAACAAGGTTGCATTGCATTTGCTCTAGCACTCTCCTTTCTACTCTGGTTATTTTTTCATCTTTGTACTTTTGTAAATTTGTAAAATGAACAGGAGAAAAAAAATCACAGGAACAGTTGCACAAACTCCCCCCACCCCCCCACACACACTTTTTTCCCAGTCAAATATAGAGCTACATAGAATTTTTACATGTTCATAATTTTTTTTAAGAGAAAAAAGGTCAAATTGAAGGCCAAAATGCATTATATTTCCCCCCTTTTTCAACCAGCTTTATTTCTAATGCCTCTGTCTTTAGGCAAGAAATATTTTACACTGACATTTTACATGGCTGGTCTCATCATCTGTGGAATGCAAGAGTCTGAGTTTAGGAGAATTCAAATAGAAATTCACTCCAAAATGCTGTTTTCGAGCTTTTATAAAATATCAAGCACACCTGCTCACCGGCAGTCTCAAAACTCTTAAGAAATTCCACGTAGCTCTCAAAACAAGCGCAAACAAACCCTGTTTGAAAACACAGATGCATGGCCCACCCATGCCCATAACTAATTTATGTTCCCCGGTTAAGGGAGAATTATGATTTATTTGTATTAATTATTTATTATGGCTACAGTGTCCTACCTAAATCTGATTCTCTACAATTACTTTAAACAGACATTATCCTTCTTTCTGGCCGATAAATCAGGCTATTTTGAATACTTCCTTCAATAAAACGTGTGTTTCAGCGATGGGATTTGCTTTTAAATCATTCCTTCCGGAGGCGGTGTCTGAGGACATAAAATGAAGGAGTCCCACCAAACATGCTGTGAAATAGCAAATGAGTTTACATTGTCACAGGTCCAGGGTATTAGCCGGAATGCACAGGTTGCACCTCTATAAATTGGAACTCTCTGGTAAAGCATAATCTGTGGTCCGGAAGGACCATGGATGTTCCAGGATCAGAGTCCCAGCAGGCTACAGAGGGGGGAAACCTGGTGGGGTAGTAGTGCAGGAAAGGGTCAGCAGCAGGGAGACCAGAAATGACTTCCCTTGGCCCGGGAAAAATCCATTTGGGAACAATCAGGTCCCCAGGGTGCCGGACCAGAGAGGTCACACCTGTACCCGAAGCTGCAATCGATACACATAGGCTAAGAAAGTCAACTCCAGTTCCCAATGTATGGGCCAAAGGCTGTCATTCCCCAGCTGGTGCTCCCATTGTATTTCTGGTAGCTCCACCTGACCACCGTGTGCTAGGTGCTGTACAAACACGAAATAAGAGACGGACCCTCCTCTTAGATCTTCTACTCCAAAGAACCGGGACCCAGGCACACAAAGTGAAGGGACTCGCGCAGCACGGAACTGGAGGAGCTCAGCTCGCTTCCTGCTGCCTTAGTCATTGGACCACACGGGCTCTCGCCCCTGGAGAGGCCGCCCGCAATCCTGCCAGCATGGACTCCCACTGCCACTCTCCCCCACGCCATGGCACTCGGGATGGTGTGGGGGCGGCCCGCGCTCTGCAGGAGGCCAGGAGAGAGGATCACAGTGGTCTCTTCTGGCCTTGGAGGGCTCTCGTGGAGAGGCCTAACGACGACCTCCGCACCGACACCCACTTTGTACCGGGGAGTCCGAGGTCCAGCGGCCCTGCCCCGTATG